CCTGCTCCCTCCTTGACCCAAGACACAGTTCCAAATAAATGCAAGGAACCCCTCACACAAACCTTTGATGGCCCCCAATTGCCTCAGGTATTTGTAGCTTGTGTGGAATTCTACTGTCTGCTATTGAAAGCCTCAGTCTCCAGTCCCGAAGGAGCAACAGGGAAAGGGCAGAAGGAGGACTGAAAAAGCAAACATTCTTTGGAATTTAGGTATTCAGTGCTCACCATTCCAAAAAACTCCTACAGGAAACCCCAGCTGGTAATTTCTCCAGCCCAGGGGTCCTTACGCATCAGAACCACCTGGGGAGCTTGCAAAAATGCCCCCTCCCAGGCCACTTGGGAGGGGTCCTCGCAACTGGTCCCTGTTCAGAGGCCCCAGGTGACTTTAGTGGGCAGTCAGGCTAGACAACCCAGGGCCTCTGCACTGTGAAGCTGAGATTAAAGTTGTCCTTTTGGGCAGATTCCCAGAGGCCTTTTCTACCCCAGGAAACAAATCTCTCTCCCTGCCTGGACAGCAGGAGAGTTTAACTAAGCCTGTCGTGATCCCTAAAATTCATCTAGTTTCTGGCTAATCACAGCCTCAGCCTTGTACCCGTGAGTCCCACCAAAGGCACTCAGCACTCCAAGCTTGGCCGCCTCCGCGTCAGTCACATCAGTCGCTGTGGCCCACACAGGCCAAAGGCTGCTGTGCTTTTCCCTCTTTCGATGATCTCATTGAATCCTTTGGCATTAAATGTCATTTAGAGGCTGATGACTCTCAAATTTATAGCTCATGCCCCCCCTTCCCTCTAGCTCATATCTCCAGCTGCCTCAGTGTGTAAGAGTCTGGAGCTATGAGTTACAAGGAAGGGGCCTGACCTCCACAGGCAGGTCCCCATGAGGAAAGGTCAGGGACGTCTCATCATGGCTGAGAGAAAACTGAGGCATCTTCCCCAGGCACCACCATCTACTCCAGCTCAAGCCAAGAGCAGATAGATGTGTGTCTTTCCTCACTGCCCACCTCTAGTTTGGCCTCTGCGCCTCCACAAAATGCCTACTGAATCTCATCCGCTTTCCAGCTTATCAACATCCCCCCAGCCCAGGCCCCTGTCATCTTTTTGCCTGGGAGACTGAAATAGCTTCCTGTTTTCTGCCTCTTATTCTTGCTCCCTTCAGCCTACTCTTCACCCAGAAACCAGAAGTTCTTTAAAAACAAGACTCTATTGAGATATACTCACATGACATGCAATTTACTCACTCATTGGAGTGTACATGCCAATAGTTTTTAGTATATTTACAGAGTCATGCAACCATAATCTAATTTTAGAACATGTTCATCATCACAAAAAGAAAACAATTCAGCAAAGTCGTAGGGTGTATGATCGACACTCAGAAATTAATTATGTTTCTATACGCCAGCAATGAGCACTCTGAAAAGGAAATTAAGAAAATCATTCCATTTACAATAGCATCTAAAAGAATAAAATACCTGGGAAAACATTTAATTAATGAGATGAGAGAGTTGTACACTGAAAACTAGAAAACATTGCTGAAAGAAATTAAAGAACTAAATGAATTAGAAGACATCCTGTGTTCAAGAATCAGAAGACTTAATATTGTTAAGATGCCACAACTACACAAAGCAATCTACAGACTCAATGCAATTCCTATCAAAAGTCCAACAGCCTTTTTTGAAAGAATGGAAAAGCCTGTCCTCAAATTCACATGGAATTGCCAGGGGTCCCAAATAGCCAAAACAATCTTGGAGCAGAATAATAAACTACAACTCACACTTCCCAATTTCAAAACTTACTACAAAGCTGTGGTTATTGTTGTTAGGTGCTGTCAAGTGGGTTCTGCGTCATAACTACCCTACGTATAACAGCACAAAACGCTGCCAGGCCCTGCGCCATGCTCACAATCGCTGCTATGTGTAAGCCCACTGTTGCAGCCACTGTGTCAATTCATCTCGTTAAGGGTGTTCCTCTTCTTTTGCTGACAAAGCTACAGTAATCAAAACAGTGTGGTACTGGTAAAAGAACAGACGTGGAGGAATGGAATGGTGCGGTGCTGTGAGTTACTTAATACGGCTCTTGTAGCCATGGTCTTTGTGTCTCCCATCAGAGGACTGGGTGGAACTACGTACATACGAGGTGCTGTGGCCCACCAAGGGGATTGGATAGTTTGCTAATAATGTAAATAAGGTGCATGGACCCTTGTGGGGGTGGGCCTGTGCAAACAAGGTTATGGAACCCGATCGTCAGAGTTGGGCAGTTTTACCATCCCGTTAGGCTTAAAATGAGCCATCCCAGAGGTGGAAGTGGTGGCGGTGGGGATGTCACCACCATCAAGAGAGAAAAGACAGGAGTAGAGCCCATCTTTGGACCTGAGATCCCTGTGCTGAGACGGTAGAGAGACAACACAGAGATGGCAGAGAGACAGAGGCAGCAGAACCAAGAGACTGACATTATACCTTTGGAGACCCTATGGGGCAATTCTACTCTGTCCCATAGGGTTGCTGTGAGTCAGAATCAACTCTATGGCAACAGATTTGGGTTTTTGTTTAACCTGCTTTGTGATCTGTTAGCTTTGCTTCTAATAACATCTGTCATATGCAGGAAGTCCCCAAATGCTAGTGATAATGAGTTGGAAGTGGCACAGTTGGAATCCTTTGGAAGCCAGGTGTCAGGCCTTCAGGGGGGTCCCTTTGAGGACATAGGGCTAGAGCAGTGGGCCAGGGCTAGGTACAGAGCCCACGACCTGGGTCCCCAGGAAGCACTCATTCAACAGACAATGTGTGGGCACTGGGAACACAGGGTCCTGCCCGCATAGCATTATCACAGCTGGTTACACAAGGGAAGTGGAGGCAGAGCCAAGGCCGCCCCATTCAGTAGGCTGAGCCACACCCCGGAAGCCTGCCTGGCAGGACTCAGGTAGTCCTGGGTTCCAGAGCTCAGGCTCCTTGATTGAAGAAACAGCACAAACAATCCTTATCTGCCTTGGTGGTTTGAGAGCAAACCTAGATGCTGTGCTAAATTATCCAATACCAGCTCTAGTACATAGTCTGTGTATGAGTCCTTTGAACTTCCCGGGTTGACTGGGGTGCCAGGACTGGGAGTTGGTCTGTGATCTGCAAGAGCAGGCAGCCACTGCTTGCTCCTCTGAGCTCAGTGTTCATATCTGGAGGCTTCTGCAGTTGCTGCCCTCTGGGAAATTGTAGACAGAGCCATCCCCTCAAGGCTTCTTGGGGCCTTGTTATAATGGAAGAGAGCTCCAGCCCAAACTAAAGACTCCTGGGGACTTGACAGACAGGAACATATTTCCCTGAACACCACCAGCCTCCACTCTCAGGGCCTCCTTGAAGCAAATGAAGGGCTATTCTGGGGAGAACCACAGCTGGTCACCATGCCAGGTCCAGCGGAGGGGAGGGCCGCTGGCGACTCACTGGGAAGCACCGCCCTGCACTGAGAGGCACCCAGCATCACCATCCCCTTCTTTTCCTCCTCAACACAACCCCAGGGTGAGGGCCTCTCCTCACTTCTCCTCATCGATAAGGAAACCTCAGCCTAGGGAGGCTTAGGTTTTGCTGCTGCACCACCTATGTGCCCTTGAACTAGAAAGCCGCTGTCACTGATGAATCTGGGAGTGGCCTTCCAGTTGGACTATGAAGAGAATGGAGCTGGACTTTCATGTTAATATTTTTTTCTGAGATGATTGAAGAAATTTTAGAAAACAGATGGATAAAGGTGGAGGGGGGGTGTCCACCAGGTGCTGGAGGGCAAGCTGTGCTGACCTCTGACCTCCCCCACACCTACCAGGAGAGGCCCCTTCCTCCAATCAAGCTTGGGTATGAGCAGGGTCCTTCCTACCCTCCAGTCCTTCTTGTTGTTGTTATGTGCAGTCTAGTCCCACGGACTCACAGCAATCCCTCCTTGGGTTTCCGAGGTGGTATCACTATGGAAGTAGATTGCCCAACCTTCCTTCTGAGGAGTGGCTGATGGGTTGAACCGCCAGCCTGATTAGCAGTCAAGTGCCTTAGGCACTACGCTGCCAGAGCTCCCCACTCCAGCCCTAGCTCCATCTTTCTCCCAGTTCCCAGTCTGGAATTGCTCTCTGGGCTGCCAGCAGAGATGGGTTGCAGAGGCTGGTTCGGGTTTGGAAAATTGATACAGGAAAGAGGCACAGAGATGGAAGGAAGAAATGGGTCTGTGGGAGGTGGGAGAGCGGCAGAGTCCTGGCATCCTGTTTATGGAGGCTCGCTGTGCATCAGGGCACAGCGCGTGGCCAGGAGAGCCGCCAAGACCAAGACTGACCAGTCCTGCCCTGGGACTCCGTTAGAGGAGCCTGTGTGGGGGCAGCAAAGGACGGCCACAAAGTCCTGGCATTCCTTTATCGGCTTTATTCATTCTTTCAGCACCTACTGAGTGCCCACTATATGCCAAAGCGATGCATTAGGGACTGAGGGGTGTTCTGATGCCCAGAAAGACAAGGGCCCGTGCCCTGCCCCCTGGCGCCGGACAACCACTTCTGCCGCCCCGGGCCACGATGCCGCCCCGCCCCGGCCGCCCAGGCCAGTCCTGCGGGGACCTCCGG